GTGCCGGGTCCAGTAGTCCGTCCGGTCCGTGGCGGGTCTGGTGGTCTATTTGGTCCGTGTCGGGTCTGGCGGTCCATCTGATCCGTGCTGGGTCTGGTGGTTCGTCTGCTTCGTGCCGGGTCCAGTAGTCCGTCCGGTCCGTGGCGGGTCTGGTGGTCCGTCTGCTTCGTGCCGGGTCCAGTAGTCCGTCCGGTCCGTGGCGGGTCTGGCGGTCCATCTGATCCGTGCTGGGTCTGGTGGTTCGTCTGCTTCGTGCCGGGTCCAGTAGTCCGTCCGGTCCGTGGTGGGTCTGGTGGTTCGTCTGCTTCGTGCCGGGTCCAGTAGTCCGTCCGGTCGGGGGGTCTGGGTTCGTCTGGTTCGTGCCGGCCGGGTCCAGTAGTCCGTCCGGTCCGTGGCGGGTCTGGTGGTCGTCTGTTCGTGCCGGGTCCAGTAGTCCGTCCGGTCCGTGGCGGGTCTGGCGGTCCATCTGATCCGTGCTGGGTCTGGTGGTTCGTCTGCTTAGGCCGGGTCCAGTCCAGTCTGGTCCGTGCCGGGTCCCGATAGTCCCTGCCCGGTTCCGCTGGCGGGCTCGACCGTCTCAGGCGGCTGCCATCTGGCCTTTTTTGCACGGGTTGAACCAGTAGTGGACCGCAGCGCGCGCCGCGCGCGTTGCGTGACTCGTGACTCGTGACTCGCGCCGAAAACCATGACTTCAACACCTCATCCCGCATCAGTCGTCTGTGGTCGGCCGCACCTGTGTAAGACCGAATATAACGAGCAGTGCTATGGATCAAATGAAAGCTGGTTCATTGCAGTGTCACTCCGCGTCATCTTTCTGTAAGCACGAGTACCCATTGGCTTATGACTCGCAAATGCTGTTCGAGCGGCCATGATGGCGTCGTTTCGAACTAGTTCAAAGCGTGAGGCGCAGGGTATGACGTGCATTATAGCTAGTCACTCGTATTCTTCTGGGCAGACGGTTTGTGTGCAACATTTTGGCAGCTGGGGGTTAAGCATTTGGTCTCGTTTCGACATTCGAATATTGGAGTAGTACTACGCAGAGGTTGCATTGGGGTATATCGAATTTTTGCTTCAATCATGGCACATATTCACGCAAATCTGTAGGAGATGCATCACGTTCACAACACTCACGCATCCATGCAGTTTCAAGCGTCATTGCTAATTGGAAGTGCATCAGGTCGAGCAGGCAATAGTTGCTCAAGCCAGCAAGGGCCTGCACTGGTGGCAATCAAGCCCTCTTAGCTTGGTTGCCACGGGTGCAAATAAGTCAACCTGAAGGAAATAGATCATGCGCTAAAATTTTCCATTCCTCTTAGCCTTCCGCCACATGTGCAAATTAGACAGCCAGAAGGATAGTAGATATTATGCTACAATGTTTTTTAAGTACAAACATGTATAAATGCACGATGTTTTCCCTGATTCGCACGCCGCCACGATTCTTTGTGAGAACCTTGGACCTTTACGAGATGTTTCTGAAATGTGGTGTCTTCAACGTTAACGTCATGTAAACCTGATGAGTGCATTGTCGTACTTATTAGTATAACTACGTCCCTGAGAATGTCAAGTGTAATGAATAGTATATAGCATAAATATTCAATGTTGAAATGCACAACTATACATATATACTAGCATTTAGTATCAATATAAATGTTAAGTACAATTATGAGAACATTTAGTATACTAGCATAAATACGTCCCTGAATGAGCAATGCCGATTATAGGGGTTAAGTGGGATCCAAAGGGGACAACCCGCCCTGAACTGAAACTTATGAAAACGTAAAAAAACGCACATTTCGCGGGAAGAAGTTGAAGGACCATGCCATTTCGTAGAATGTAGAATATGTCGCCTCCATCCTCGTTTTTGATTACACCCATAGTTGTGCTTACTTCCTACCAAACAAGCATACCAGTGTAATGATGGGCCTGCATTGTGGTGCAGTATTTGTTTTGCATGTACCGCATAACTTAGACGCATGTTGCGATATTTACATCAACCGTGCAAATACGCACTTAGAACAAATGGTTATGATACTGTCTGTGATATGTCACAGCTTTATGACTGCCTTTGCCATCTTATGGTTTATTACTCTCTCTGTGCGGTTTAAAGCTATATTACGATTACGAAAAGTGGCTAGAAGTGATGCTTGAATCAGTCACAACTATTTCTCCTTAATGTGAATTCTTTTGAAAGGTGCCCTTGTGAAGCCTGTCTCCTTAAAACTGGAAAAAATGCAATGGTACCTGGGAGGTTTAAGCCAAGTGTTGAATGTTCTTCAACAAGCGTCTATTTATGGCGCTAGGCATTATCTAATGTTTCCATTCATCCGGCGACAACTGAGGTGGCATTGAAATCTTAACTGGAACATTTCAATAATTTAAATCCAACTGCCCCGCTCCGTTGTGAATGAGAAGAGGTTTAAGATGAATGCGTTTTAAAGACGCAAACAAAGGAGCGATCTGTCGCTCCATTTGTCATTTTTCTTTAATGTATGCAATGAATTGTTAAAAGGGCCATTTATCGCCAAAAAACATTGGACACCGTCTGCGCCATCGACGTAGTGTGAACATTGCTAGGCACGAAATGCGTTCTGCAGGTAACGCGCTGCGTGGCAGGACGTGCAAGGAAATATGTGATGTAGTCATGCTGTACGATCACCCACTGCTCTTCGGGAGCCGTTCATGTTTTACTACGCAGACTAGGCTGAAGCAGATTAGGCCAACTTTTGCTCATCATTATGGAAACAAACAATGAGGGAAGTAGTGGAATTGAAGTACCATTTAAGAAATTTGATTTTGAAGTCGAGCGGTGAAGATCGTAGGTACCTGTTTTACTCACATGATTTTCATGGTGCTCCCACCCCAGAAAGCTGACTGCGGACCTGCCCCTGCCTCCGTGGGAAGGTGCCCCGTCTTCATCGCACCCTACCTCAGCGAGCTGGCGGTGGGCCTGTCCCTGCCGCTGCGGGAAGGTGCTCCGTTTCCAGTGCACGCCACGACAGTGGCTGTTCTTTGACCGTGCTGGGCGTAACAGTTCTCTGCAGCCGCCGACCCCAGCACCTAGCTCCGTGCCACGTGTCGCGACTCGGGAGACACCGTTACGCTCACACCCTGATTACAGTCCCCGTGGAATCACAGTCACTTTATCACAGTCACTGGAATCACAGTGGCTGGAATCAGTTGCAGTCCCTCTAGCGCTGTTGCTGGTAAAGCCAGCGGCTTCAGGCCGGGCTGCCGGTAGTTGGCTCTGTCGGCAGACCGTCCGTCGCGTTCCGCCCGGTCAGGCTGCGTCCTGCACCTCAGCGGCCTTTGCTTGGTGTCAAGTGGTGCTGTGGGCTCGGTGGCGCCAGTGTGGATCATTACGATTACCACGGTCGGTTTGAGGCACAACATTTATACACAAATATCGATATCAGCACCTGTGAGGAGAGACTGATATGGCCCTATGACCCAAATAATGGTATGACCCTCAGTGCGGTTTAGGTGTGTGTTTTCAAGCGTTTAAAATCTGTTCCTGGCGTTGTAATACAGGTACAGGATTGTAGTAACAAGACGATAACAAAGTGCATAGATGTGTTAAATGTCCGCTGATCATCACTCATGACAATGGTTGGTAGGATTGGGGACTTAAGGTTGTCGTAAAGGTATATAATGTCAGACGCTAATCTTTTCAGAATCCTGCTTTCAGTGATTTAAGGTTATTTATAGGTTATTCAACAGAAGCCTCTGAGGCATCTGAAGACCCCATTGCCTAATTTCCCAACCGCCTGGCTAACGACCTGTTTCC